TCATTCCTTTTCCCCTTAATTTCCTTCTTACTTCCACTACTTGGAGAAAAGAAAGCAACACTTGTAAAAGCATATGTTAACTAATCCAATATGTAATCAGGATTACTGGCTATAGAACCAAGAACAAATGCCTAGAGAACAACGAAAGTGAATTTTGACCCAAATTCATAACTAATCCAATATGTAATCAAGGTTATTGGCTTGAAGGAAAATGAGTTAACAGTTTTATTATCATTTAACTAATAGAAGGATGAAAAAAAGTGTAAGATGTAAAGTTGAGAGACAAAAAAAATAATTTAAAGATAAAAAATATATTCAAAATGAAAAGTTTAGGAAATTGACATTTAATCTAAACCAAAAGAAAGTACTAGTGTATAATAGTGGGAATTGTGTGGCGGCATGTGTCGATAGGGAACAATTGGTTTTGGAAACGAGTGCTAGACAATTAAAGTAATTGGTTGCTAGTATTTGATATGGTAATGAATTTTGGCGTGAGATGAAAGAAGTGGATATTTAATTGAAAATCAGGTTGCATGAGGTTGCGAATGGGTGGTTTCACTGGTTTGGTTGCTTTAGTGGGTTTATATTAAAATTAACAGTTAATCATGCCCATTGAATGCTGGAATCCAATTGAATTAAATAATTAGTGTGGGTGTAGGTCCAGCTGTATAAGTTAGTCCAGCATTTGACTGAACTTAAGCTATTGTATTTGTACTTGATTGAAATTTTAATGATATGTAGGTTAGGCCCAGGTAAGAATGCCCGCAACCGTTTGGTGGGCCAAAAGGTGACCCGAAGTTTGGATTTCGGGTTGGTTGAAATGGGCTTTGGGGCCCAAAATAACAGTTTCGGTGCAGGCTTGAATATTTTCGTGCTAGTGTTCAATGCCCAACCCCAGAACCGAACAATCAAACATTCAAACCGTGCCACTAAGCAACCAAGCCTTATTTCAATTTAAATATTACTTTTTTTAATTTTCTCCTCATTTCATGTATGTGACACGCCTACATAATGTATTTCTTTTGTTTGACTTTTATACTTTCATAATTTTATTTTCGAATTATAATT